TTTTTTTGGATCTACTAAATGGCATATTGGGGTGGATCAAGTGGATGGCGTTGCGTTGTTACTGCTTGCAGTCTCTCATTAGCAGGCTCAATATATAATATTTTTCTTTTCCACAAAAAAAAATAAATTATAAAAAATTATTATTTAAAATTTTATTTATTATTTACTATTTTCTATTTATTTTATTTATTTTATTTATTTAATTTATTTATTAAATATTTAAAATAAATTTTTATTTATAATTTACTATTTATTTTATTTATTTATTTTATTTTATTAAATATTTAAAATAAAAAATAAAAAATAAAAAAAGAAAATTAAAACATAAAAAATAAACTAAAATAATAAATCTATTTTTATTATAAATAAATAAAAAAAAAAATCAATTTTTGTGTAATATCAAAAACTGCACAAAAGAAATAAAAATTATTATCAGTTCTTTGAATTAATCAGACACCACACATTTACGTTTATATTTAATTATTTTTTATTTTTTTATTTTTTATTTTTTTATTTTATTTTTCCCTTTTTTTTTTTTTTCACTTTAAAAAATTTATCAAATAAATTTTTAAATTTTTAAGTTTTATTTTTTTTTTCATATAAATATTTTTTTTTTCCCAATCATTTTAATTATATTTTATATAAACAAACAATCCATAATAATTTAATACAATTTTAACATTTCAAAAACAATAATAATAAAAAATGGCTTTTGATAATATTGACATAGATAAACAACCAGAAAGTACTCCAGCTGCTACTGATTTCAATAATAATAACAACAATTCAGCTACAAACACAAGTTCTCCATTACAATCATTCTTTGATAATTTACCAAAAGATAAAAAAGAACGTAAAGAGTATATTTCTCAATTTAAAAAGTCCATTAAAGAAGAAAAAGCCAAATTAAAAGAAATTAAAAAATCAATGAAATGTGATAAAGAATCTAAACACGGTCATCATAAACATCACGGTCACCACGGACATCATGGTCATCATGGTCATGGTCATGGTCATGAACATCCACATCACGGTCATCATGGACACCACGGTCATCATTACGGTCATCATGGTCATCATCACGGTCATGAAAAAGTAATCAACTACAAATTAGAACATTTACAAAAGAAAAGATCAATTTTATTAACCAAAATGCAATACGTCGATGCCCAAATCTCATTCTTAAGCAATTACAATCAATCAGCAAATCACGGTTTCCCACATCACGGTCATCCACATCCATTCAGTGGTCCATTTGGTCATGGTTTCCCACATCAACAATACTCATACCCACACCCACAACAATTTAATTTCTATGGTCCACCAACTGCTTCACCAGTTGCTCCATCAACCACCGCCTCAATTACTCCATCAGAAAAGAAATTATAAAAAAAGAATTTCTTTCTAAATCTGTTTGTGCCACTCACTAGTTTACTCTTTTTTATATCATAAAACTTTTTCTAAACTTTATTTTTTTCCAATAATGTTATTAATAATTTAAATTAATAAATAAAAATTTTTTCTAAGGTTTTTATAAAGGTTTTATAAAAAAAACAAAAATTTGGTTTCTTTTTTTCAATTTTTTTTTTTATTTTTTTTATTATTATTTTTTTTATTATTATTTTTTTATGACGATCAAATACGATATTTGGATATTTTTAAAAAAAAAAAAGAATGGTATTAAAATCACTTTAATATCTTGTACCAAATAAAAAACAAAATAATTTTTTTTTTTTTTTTAAAAAAATAGTTTTTATTTATTTATTTATTTATTTATTTATTTATTTATTTATTTATTTATTTATTTACTTGTTTATATATAAAATGAAAATATCAATTTTATTTTTATTTTTATTTTTTATTTGTTTTATTGATTGCGCGCCATTAATTAAAACACCACCATCCCCAGTTGTTTGGTCTGAATTGTATGTATTTTTATTTAAATTTTCTACTTGTAAATAAATCTTTTTTATTTATAATTTATTTATTTATTTATTTATTTTAGTTTGGGTATTAATGTGCAATATGAATGGTGGAATGAAACTATTGTTAAAAAACAAATTTCTGTTATGAAAGATTTAGGTATTAAATGGGTACGTGCAAGTGTTCATTGGGCTGTGTTAGAAGCAACTGAAAATAATATTAAATGGGAATACTTAGATACTTCAATGAATTTGATTAAAGAAAATGGATTAAAATCAATTGTTACATTTGTTGGAACTCCAAATTGGGCAAGTAGTTATACCAATGGAAGCCCAAATACTGATACATATCCACCCAAAGATGATTCGGTTTTTGCTGACAGAGTATTGAAATTAAATTCTCGTTATCCATTTGTTGATGTAATGTATCAAAATAATTGCAACACCTAAATATAATTAAAACCTTAAAAAAAATAGTAAATACTAATATTGGTTTTTTAAAGTATTGGGAGATTTGGAATGAACAAAATCTATCACCAGGATTTTGGAGACCATACTATAATGCAACTAGATACGATGAACTGTATCAAAACACAGCAACCATCTTAAGAAATGCAGGTCTTGGTTCCAAACTAGCTGTTGGTGGTATTGGCTATTATGGTATTTCAGTTGATAAAGATAATAATCAAGTTGATATGGTTGCTGATTTGAAAGGATTAGGTACATTTAAAGACTCCCTAGTTTCATACCATCCATACACTGATTTACCAGAAGGTGGTTTAAGTGAAGGTAACTATGCCGATAATATCTATGGTCATTACGAAACCAGTATCTATGTTAATAAAAACATAAGAGAAGGTGGCTCCAATCAAGTTTGGACTACAGAATGGGGATGGTCATCGGGCACAGAATCTGATCAAGTAGATAGAGAAACACAGGCAAAATATACAGTTAGACGTCTATTAATTGATTCTCTAGTTGGCTTTAACAAAACATTTTTATTTACAATTAGCGATTTGGACGCAAGAGCCTCATCAATAAGAGACCAAGGCTATGGTATTGTTGATTTAAATGTCAATAAAAAACCAGTATACGATTCACTAGCCAGATTATTCAACATTACTGGTTCGTCACTTGAAAGTATCTCCGCCACCGATATGAACAGCTACTTGGACAAAACAAAACTTGGCGAAGATTTCGTTGGTGTATTTTATAAAAAACCCTCAACTAATACAACTCTATTTGCATTTTGGTCGATTTCTACAAATATTTCATTTAATCTAAAAACCAACCAAACTGGTAAACTTTATTCGATATCCGACTCCTCCAATCAATTTATTACACCCTCTAATGGCGCAATTCTATTAAACCTAACCTCCGATGTCCAAATATTTGAGTGGCCCTTATTACATAGTGACAACTCTAAAGATGATGATGATAGTTCTAAGGATAGTGACAGTTTATCATTTTCAAATAAACTGCACTTTGATTTATTATTTATTTTTATCTCTATTATTTTATTATTTTTTATTTGAATAAAAGTAAATAGAGTTTAACTATCACTATTAATAATAAAAAAAAACCCGTTTTTCACCCCTAAACCCCTATTTCCCCCCTCTTTTTTTAAAAATAAAAAAAAATAAAAAAAAATAAAAAAAAATAAAAATAAAAAAAAATAAAAAAAAAATATAAAAAAATAAAAAAAAATATAAAATTAAAAAGAATATTCCTTTTATTTTTATTTATTTTTTTAATTTAAAAATTGCAATTGTTTCAATTTTTTTTGTTTTAATTTATATTTATCAATTTAAAAATAACAATAATAATAAAAAGAAATTTAGATATAATAGTTTTGGTAATAAAAAAAAAAAAAAAAAAGAAAAAGAAAATTCTACTCAATCATACCCATAGATATTTATAAAATTATTATTTTAAATTTTTAATTATTTTTTTTAATTTTTTTTTCAAAATTTTAAATTTTTTTTTTTTTCTCCTCATCGTCAAATTTTTTTTTTCTTTTCTTTTTATTTTTTCCTTCACATTAAGATAAAATGAAATTACTTTTAGCTTTAATTTTAACTTTTATTGTTTTAGCTAATGCTTTAACGTATGTTCACCAAATCAATTAAATTTAAAATTAATTAAAGAAAAAAAAAAAAACTAATTTTTATTTTTAATTCCTATAGTGTCCCACTTAGCTTCACCCCAGCTAGTAGACAAGCCATCAAAAGAATCCCACAAAACGTTGCCAATAAATACACTATTGCTGCCAACGGTGGTACAAATATCCCAATTTCAGATTTTGAAGATGTATGTATTTAAAAACATTATTAATTCATCGATATATTTTCGTCGGGAATAGAAATATTAACCAAATAATTATTAATATTTAATTTTAGGCTCAATACTATGGTGCCATTACCATTGGTACCCCAGGTCAACCATTCAAAGTAGTTTTTGATACTGGTTCATCCAATTTATGGATTCCATCAAAGAAATGTTCAATCACTGTCCCAGCTTGTGATTTACATGAAAAATACGATAGCTCCAAATCATCATCATACGTTGCCAATGGTACCTCATTCTCAATTCAATACGGTAGTGGTGCCATGTCAGGTTTTGTTTCACAAGATACTGTCACTGTTGGTTCATTAAGTGTTAAAAATCAATTATTCGCTGAAGCTACTGCTGAACCAGGTATTGCTTTCGATTTTGCTAAATTCGACGGTATTTTAGGTCTTGCTTTCCAATCTATCTCAGTTAACGATATTCCACCAGTTTTCTACAACATGATTGATCAAGGTTTAGTTGGTCAAAATCTCTTCTCATTCTGGTTATCAAAAACCCCAGGTTCAAACGGTGGTGAACTCTCATTCGGTTCAATCGATTCATCTAAATACACTGGTCCAATTACCTACGTCCCATTAACCAATACTACCTATTGGGAATTCAAAATGGACGATTTCGCCATTGGTGGTCAATCAGCTGGTTTCTGTGGTTCACAAGGTTGTCCAGCTATTGCTGATTCAGGTACATCACTCATTGCTGGTCCAATCGACTTCATCACTGCCCTCAACCAAAAATTAGGTGCTGTCGTCATTTCAGGTGAAGTAAGTAAAACAAAAATAACAATAACAAAAAAAAAAATATATTTTTTTCTAATCATATTCATAATTATTTTTAATTAGGCTATCTTCCCAGATTGTTCAGTTATCAACACTTTACCAAACGTCACTGTTACCTTAGCTGGTCGTCAATTCAACTTAACTCCAAAAGACTACGTCTTACAAATCACTGAATTTGGTAAAACTGAATGTCTTTCAGGTTTCATGGGTATTGAATTACCACCACAAGTTGGTCCACTTTGGATTCTTGGTGATGTCTTTATTTCAACTTATTACACCGTTTTCGATTTTGGAAACAGTCAAGTTGGTTTCGCCACCGCTGTTCAAGCTTAAATTCAAATCTAGGTTAGATTAGAATAATAAATAATAAATAATAATAAACAGTAAAATTAAAATATAATAAAAAAAACAATTATTAATTAAATTTTGATAATTATAAAAATTTAAAAATCTATATAAATTTTTTTATTTTAAATTTTATGGTTTTTATCTATAAAACTATTTTTTAAATTTTTATAAAATAAAATACAACAAAAGTTTAATTATTTTAATTATTTATAAAAAGATTGATAATATTAAAACTATGAAGAGTAATAATGATGATGATACAATTTTGATAGAGCTACCTACAACAACACAATCGTCTGTGGTAGTAGTTTGTGGGAGATAACCAGAGTATTTTCCATTGGCAACAGAACCACCAGATGATGGAACTGATGATTTCAAATAGCATTGATCACCAGCAAAAGTAAAAGCATAACAAAGTGGTGTAGTTTGACATTTAGAGCAACATTCTTCTGGACTTTTTAGTGTAACTATTTTTAAAAAATTTTAATATAATTATTATATGAACTCTTTTTAAATATTTTATATTTTATATTTTAATACTTACAAGTACCAGATGGGAGATCATTACCTTGGTAATCTAAATTATTAATTATTGTACAATTACCTAAAGTTGAACAACCACAACCTGATGAACCAGCTTGACATTCGCATTTACCATTTTTACAAATACTTCTTGGACCACAATTAACATTATAGCATGATGAATCTTTTGGAGGTTTATCACAAAGTTCCCCAGTATATCCATCTAAGCAAGAACATTTTTTACCACCAGCAGATGCAGTTGTTGCATTACAAACACCATAATAACCACAGTTAACACCGTAGCATGGAGTATAGTCAGATTTAAATTCACAGCTTGTTCCTTGATATCCAGGTTGGCAAAGACATAAGCCTTTAACACCATCTGGGGCTCTCATACCACCCATACATACACTGTCATGTAAACATGTTACATCTTTACAGGCATTTAAATCTTCTTCAGACAAACAACTCCATTGGATATGTAAAAGGTTTAAATCTTTTGTGCTCCAACCAGCAGTACCATATCCACTAATTTCAGTTGGGAACCAATAATTACCAGTACCATAGCAATTTGGACTATCGGTAGTATTTGGACAATTTGAGCAACAGTGAATATTCTTTAATGACCCATCATTATAATATGCTGTAACATTTAAACCTGCTGTAAATGCATCAATATTTGAGATATCTACAAATAAAATATCATTAAAATCTGATACACCTCCTTCGAATAAAGTGTATTCTGCACCACAACGACCTGACTAAAAAATTTTAAAAAAGTTAATTATTATTATTATTATTAATGTTTTTTTAAAATTTCTATTTTTTATTATAATTTTTTAAAACCATAACTTACAGTTGTAACAGGAGCGGATCTATCACCAGTACCATCATTTGGAATTGTATAGGTTACATTTCCATTAAATGGAACATCGCAATTTGATTTAACAATTGTTGATTCTAAAAAATGAAATTGTGATGGACAATCATTTTGAATGACATATTTATATTGATAACCAAGGGTCAAACTAATTTCGACTATTATTAAAAATAATACTAGTGTTAAATTTTTATTAAAATACATATTGTTTATTTGTTAATACAAAAAAAAAAATAAAAAAATAAAAAATAAAAAAAAAAAAATAAAAAAAAACAGTCACAAGGATTTTTTTTTATCCACCTGTGATTAGAACACATGCCTTTCCTATAGAATCATTCCAACCATCTATTATTTATTATTATAATAAATGTAATCAAAAAAAGCTTTCCGACCAATTTAATACCACAAATAAGATATTTATATTAAAAAAAATAAAATTAAATTCCATTATAGTTTTTAAAAAAAATAAAAAATAATTTAATTTATTTTAATAAAAACTTTTTTTTTTTATTTTTATTTATTTTTTTCAAACAATCATTTTGATCAAAATTTTAGCATTTAATAATTTTAGTATTTAATAATTTTAGAAAAAGAAAAAAAGAAAAAAGACAAAAAAGAAAAAAAAAGAATAAGAAGAAAAAAAATATTAAAAAAAAGATAAAAAAATTAAAATACGAGTTCGATGCATTTTTTTTATAATGCCAGATCAAAAAAGATTGTAAAATAGTTTAAAAATAAATTTAGGATTTAAAATAAAGTATTCAAAACCATTCTAGAATGAATAGTCAAAACGAAAGAAATTTTTCTTAAATTTTTAACTATTTTAAATTTTATTTTTATTTTTATTTTTAATTTTTTTAATTTTGTTTGATTATTTTTCATTTTTTTTTTTTTTAGTATAAAAAGCAAAAATAAATATTAATAATTTTATAAATTAATAAAAGTAATAATAATAATAATAGAAATAATGAGTTTAAACGAATTCACATATCCATATGATCTTCCAAATAATTATAAAGGACCAGGTTCCCCAATTGTAAAACCTGGTGATGAATCAAAACCAATTCCATTAACATTTACACCAATCACAATTAAAAGCTTAACATTAAAGAGTAAGAATAACGATTTTGATTATTATAATAATTGTAATAAAGTTAACTAACATGGTTTGCGCCCTAATTTATTAGATAGACTTGTAGTATCTCCAATGTGTCAATACTCATCACATAATGGTGAGGCTAATGATTGGCATTTATCTCATTATTCAAGCTACGCGTAAGTTATATATTATATATTATCTATAGATTTATTATGAAATAGATTGGATTAATTAACTTGACAATTAATAACAGTAAAGGAGGAGCATCATTAGTTATTTTTGAAGCAGCTGCAGTCCAACCAGAAGGTAGAATATCATATGCAGATCTTGGAATATGGTCAGATGAATTTATCGCACCATTAAAAAGATGTGTTGATTTAGTTCATAGATTAGGTTCAACAGCAGGCATTCAATTAGCACATGCAGGCCGTAAGGTACGATAGTAATAGTATTAAATAACTAAATATCATTATTACATAATTAATATTAATTAATAATCATCAATATCTACATAATATACTTTAGGCTTCATCAATCCCACCATTTTTAGAGGGTGCAAGAAATTCTATCCCAAGTGACCAACCAAATGGTTGGGAAGTATTTGGACCATCAGAGATCAAATTTAATGATAATATGAGTTTACCACATGAAATGACTAAAGAACAAATTAAAGAAACTATTGAAGCATTTAAACAAGGGGCACTTAGATTATTAAAAGCTGGTTTTGATATGATTGAAATTCATAATGGTATGTATATTATTACTTATTCGATTTGTTATTATTTTATTAATATTTAGTTTAATATTATTATTAGCTCATGGTTATATTGGTAATCAATTCATTTCACCAGTATCAAATCAAAGAACAGACGAGTATGGTGGCAGTTTTGAAAATAGAATTAGATTCCTTTTAGAAACCATCACAGAGATACGTAGTGTATGGCCAACTGAAAAAGTATTGGCAGTACGTTTAACATGTGACGAGTGGTTAGAGGATGGTAGTGGTTGGACAATGAATGATACAATCGAATTAGTTAAAATATTGGATACTATGGATGTCGATATTATTGATTGCAGTAGTGGAGGTAATAGTACTAAGCAAAAGATTAAAGTAGAACCACTTTATCAAGTACCATTTGCAGATTCTGTTAAAAAGCACACCAAAAACTTATTTGTCGCAACTGTTGGTTTAATTAATACAGGTAATGAAATCGAAGACATTCTTCAACAAAACAAAGCAGATATTGTAATGTTAGCAAGACCTTTCTTACGTAATCCCCATTTTGTATATCAAGTTGCAAAGGAATTAAATCAAACAATTAATTATCAAATCCAATACGAAAGAGGTCGTGAATAATACATCCAAATAAATATATTTAAATTGCGCAATTAAATAAGTTTTTAAAATAAAATAAATTTTATTCATATTTAATTTAATTAAATTATTTTATTAAGTTGCTTTATATTTTTTATTTTCTTCTTTATGTTTTTTATGTTCTATTTCTTCTAATTTATATTTTTCAAATTCTTTATCTACTTCATCTAAAACTGCCATATCTTCGATTGTTGGTGGCACTACATATTCTTCCTCTGTTTTTTTTAAAAAATTTAAAAATGATTAGAAAATTTATTTTAAAATTATAAATTAGAGTTTTAAATTGTTTTATATATTTAATACATACTATTATACATTTTTTTTAAAATATTTCTTAAAATTTTGCCGCTTCTGGTTTTTGGTAAACGATTAACAGCCATTACTTTTTTGAATGTTGCAACTGGACCAATAGTTTCTCTAACTTGTTTAATTAATTCTTTTTCAATTTCATCGCTCTGGTCTTTATATTGTGGTTTTAATACAATTAAACCAAATGGTACTTCGCCTTTAATTTCATCGTTAACACCAATTGCAACGCATTCCACAATCTTTGGATGTTTAACTAAAATCTCTTCAATTGAGCCTGTTGAAAGACGATGTCCTGCAACATTGATAAAGTCATCAACACGATTGATAATTGTGAAATATCCTTCTTTGTCGAAAAAGCCGGAATCACCTGTACGCAAATACCCTGGATATGAATCTAAATAGCTTTTTTTATAACCTTCGTGGTTGAGATAAAGTGTATTAGCAAAGCCTGGTGGAACTGGTAATTTGGCACAAACTTCCCCAATTTGATCGACACCTAAACGTTCATTTTTTGAGTTTAATACGAAAAAGTTATAGCCAGGGAAAGCTTTACCTGTCGTGTTTTGTTTTATTGGAAATTGAACTGATGCATTGGTGATCATAGGCCAACCTGATTCAGTTTGCCAATAGTTATCAAGAATTGGTTTCTTTGTAACTTTACTTAGGAAGTTAAATGTGGCGAGATCTAAACGTTCACCACCGAGCCATGTTGATTGTAATGATGATAAGTCGTATTTAGATGCGATCTTTCCATCAGCATCATCTCTATGAATTGCTCTAATTGCTGTTGGTGCTGAGAACCAGGCTTTAACACGATGCTTTTCAATCATTTTCCAATAAACACCTGCGTCTGGGATAGTTGGTTTACCTTCGAATATAATTGATGTTAAACCGGTAACCAATGGACCATAAACTGAAAGTGTGTGGCCACCTACCCATCCAATATCACTGCCCGAAAAGAAAGTATCACCAGGTTGCATATCATAGCAAGTTCTAATTGCATAGTTCATTGCGGCCATATAACCACCAGTATCTCTAACAACACCTTTTGGCATACCAGTGGTACCACTAGTATAGAGAATATATAATGGGTGTGTGCTGTCCACTGGAGTAAAGTCTCTTAATGGAGTTAAACTTTTGATAAGAGAATACCAATCAATTGAATTTTTGATACTTGGACTTGGAGTATCTGGAATGATATCTGTTCTATTATATACAATAACATGGTTTGGTTTATGACTTGATAGTTCTAATGCTTTTTCTAATAATGGTGAATAGTGATTGACTTTGTGACCTTCAATACCGAAACTACATGATATAACAACTTTTGGTTTTGAATGTTCTATACGTTGTGCTAATTGAGGTGATGCAAAACCTCCAAATACTACACTATGAATAGCGCCTAAACGAGCACATGCTAACATTGCAATAACAATTTGATTAACCATTGGCATATATATTACAACACGATCTCCTTTTTCTACACCTAAATTTTGTAAACCTCTTGAAAATGTACAAACCTCATCCCATAAATCACCATATGTTAAAGTGTTTGTGTTATCTTTTGATGGAGTTTCGTGAATTAAAGCAATTCTATTTTTAGTGATTGGATCTTTAGCGTGTACATCAACCGCATTATAGCATGCATTAACTAAACCACCTTTAAACCATTCTGGATTCGCTTCATCGCCACTATAAACTTTATCATATTTTTTATCCCTAAAAAATAATCCTATTAATATTAATTTTTTTAAATAAACCCACAGTTTATAAAAACCTTACCAGTGAACATATTTTGTGGCTACATCATCCCAAAAGTTTATTTGATCTTGTTGTGAATACTTAATATCGTTTTCGTAGTTAAATGGTTCACTAAGCTGAAATTTTTTACTTGCTAATACAGACGATGAAAAAGTCCTCTTTGAAAATTGTATTGATTTTAAACTTTTTGATATTTTGTTTAAATTTATCATTTCAATAATAAACTAAAAATTGGTGATTGTTTTTTTATAATTATAATTGAGGATTATTATATTAAAAATTAAAAATTAAAAAATTAATAAGATATTTTTTTTAAAAATTTTTTTTTTTTTTTTGAAAAATAAAAGGTGGATAATTTTTTTTTATGTAATATTATAAATAAATTAAAAAATATTAAAGTTTGAAAAAATATTAAATTAATAAATATAACTGTAAATAAAAAAATATATATTTTTTATTTTTTGTATTTTTTTATTTTTTTTTTATTTTTTTTTTTTATTTTTTTTTTTATTTTTTTTTTTTTGAAATACCAGGTAGGTGTCATATTATACCTTTTTAGTTTTTTTTTTGCAATGGCAACATTATAATTTTTTATTCTCTTTGAGGGTTTAAGTATTCCAAAGAAAAAAATTGTAAATAAACCACCTGAAAAAAAAAAATGATTAAATTTTACAATGAAATTTAAAAAATTTTAAATTTATTAAAAAAAAATAATATATATTTACAGATTTGGTGCACAAATAAATATAATCGATGGTTTTTTTTAGAAAAAATTATTATAAATAATTATATGTGTCTTTTTATCTGAAAAAACTTTTTTTTTATTATTTTTGAATTTTTTTTTATAAAAAAAAAAATCTTTTTTTTATTTTTTTAAAATTTTCAATATAAAAAAAAATAAAAATATTATCACAAAAAAAAAAACTCAATGTTTAAAATTTAACATCACAATATATTATTTTTTTATTTTATTTAAATTTTCATTGTACATTATATTCCTCAATAGAAATATATAATTTTGAAAAACAACAATGATAAATTTAAATAAATCTTCCAAAACATTAAAATTAGGATTTTTTTCAAAGAGATCTTTTTCTTCAAGTTCAATTTTATTTAATAAGAAATTTCAATTAAGCGAGCCTTTCAATTATGAACAAGATGTAAAATATTCTTTAGAGGACCCAATAAATTTTTGGGATGATGTTGCATCTAAATATGTTCACTGGTAAGAATCAATTACACATTTAATATAATAAAATTATTTTTTCTATATTAATATTATTTTTAATTTTCAAAAGGAATAAAAGATACGATAAAGTTTATAGTGGCGATGAAGCAAATCCAGAATGGTTTAAAGGTGGAATTTTAAATGCATGTTATAATGCGGTTGATGTACATGCTAAAGATCCAGTCACTAAAAATAGAATTGCTTTAATTCACGAAACTCCATCAAAAGATAACACAAACACTTTAACATATGGTGAATTATGGGACGAAGTTTGTACATTTTCAAGAGGTTTACAAAATTTAGGTGTAGAAAAAGGAGATCGTGTTGTAATATATATGCCAATGGTCAACCAAGCTATTATTGCAATGTTAGCATGTGCTCGTTTAGGTGCAACCCACAGCGTAGTATTTGGAGGTTTTGCATCACCTCAATTAGCACAACGTATTGAACATTCAAAACCAAAAGTTGTTATATCATGTAGTTTCGGTATTGAAGGTCACAAAGTTAATCATTATTCACCATTATTAGAAAAAGCATTAGAACTATCAAGTCATAAACCAAACCATGTTATTGTATATAATAGAACAGATATCATTCCAGATACTCCAAGTCCAAAGGTACCTGGCTCAATTGATTGGTATGAGCTAACCAAAGGAATTTCGCCATTAAGAGACTATGCTCTTGTAGATAGTACACACCCATTATATATTCTCTATACTAGTGGTACCACTGGTATGCCAAAAGGTGTTGTTAGAGATACTGGTGGTTATACAGTTGCTTTAAACTATGCAATGAGAAACTGCTATGGTTTGAAACCAGGAGATACTTTCTTTGCAGGTAGCGATATTGGATGGGTTGTTGGTCACACACTTTCAGTCTATGGTCCATTATACACTGGCTTAACATCAATTATATTCGAAGGCAAACCAACTATCCCAGACGCAGGTGTTTATTGGAAATTGATTGAAAAGCACAGAGTAAACGCATTATTCTCAGCACCAACAGCAATTAGAGCAATTCATAGAGATGATGCTGATGGAAAGATTGCATCTAAATACGACTTATCATCATTACAATCGACATGGCTCGGTGGTGAACGTTTAGATATCTCCACATTTAATTTCTTAAGCAATGCTACAAAGAAACCAATTCTCGATAACTATTGGCAAACTGAATCAGGTTGGCCAATGATCACAAATCCTTCAGTTCAAATTCCAATCAAACCTAATTCTACAGGTAAACCAGTTCCAGGTTATAACTATGCAATTTTAAATTCAAATAACGAACGTTTGGGAACAGATGAAACCGGAGAAGTTTGTATAAAATTACCAGTTCCACCAGGCTTTACCAATACACTTTATCTCAACCACGAAGGTTATAAAAAAAGCTATTTAGATTCATATCCAGGGTATTTACGTACAGGTGACTCATGCTTTGTAGATAAAAATGGATACTATCATATTATCAGTCGTGTTGATGACATTATCAATGTTTCAGGTCATCGTCTTTCAACAGGTTCAATTGAAGAGATTTTAGTTAAACATCCAAAGATTGTAGAATGCGCAGTCATTGGAGTTAATGATGAAATTAAAGGCGAAGTACCATTTGGTTTAATTGTATTAAAACCACAATATAAAGATTCCTGTTTAGAAGTTGAAAAAGAATTAATTAAAGAGATTAGAGAAACTATTGGTCCAGTTGCAACATTCAAAAAAGTAATGGCTGTTAATCGTTTACCAAAAACCAGAAGCGGTAAAATTTTAAGAAATATTTTAAGAAAAATGTATAATAGTATGTATTAACTGTATAAAATAATTTAAAACTTTAATTTCAATTTTAAAATACATTTTCTAATCATCTTTAAATTTTTTAAAAAAAACAGAGGAAGAATATGTAGTGCCACCAACAATCGAAGATATGGCAGTCTTAGATGAAGTAGATAAAGAATTTGAAAAATATAAATTAGAAGAAATAGAACATAAAAAACATAAAAAACATTAAAATAAAATATTTGGTTGTAATTTTTTTAAAAAATTATTGGAAATAAAATTACAAAAATAAGTGGTTATTATGTTTAACTCATTTATACCATATTTATAGAATAAGATTGGAATTTGTTAAGATAAACCCTTAAAAAAATTTAAAATTTGTTTTCATTAGAGGTTTTTTAAAAAAAACAGTTATATGTTATTATTTGATTTTTTTTGGAATTTTAATTTTTTATAATTTTATTTTTTGCTTCGAAACAATTATATATACAAAGAGTTTTATACAAAAAAAATATATATATTATATTTTTTGTTGTATGGTAGGATTGGTTTTTTTTTTAAAATTTTTTTTTTTTACTGAATAATGGCCTTAATTCTTTTTCTGGATTGGTCTTGATAGTCGTCGTGGTGAATTGAGTTTGGTACTGTACAAGTTGAAGGTGAGCTAGTGGCAATTGGAGTATTTGTCATCGAGGATGATTGAGATCTTGAGATTGAAAGATATCTCTTCTTTGGGGAAATAACAGAGGGACTACCTCCACTAGATAGATGAATTTGGTGATGATGGAGGTTAAGATGTAGTGAGTTTGAGGACGAACTATTTGGTGTGGATGAAATTCTTGTGGAACATGATGGAGATTGGTGACCAAAACTTTTAATTGGTGATGATGGAACTACTAATACAGAGGCTAAAGGAGAGGAGGTTGATGAGGAAGAAAGTGATGATAAAGATGATGAAGCAGAAGGTGATGATGAGGACGATGATTCACTTACACCACAGTATTGATGATAAGATTGACCAATAGTATTACCATTATTGTTTGATGAGGTTGGTAAGGGTGAACTATTTACACTATCACAATTAACTAGTATATTATTATTATTATTAATAATAACTGGTTGTTGTTTATTTGCGCATTCAATTTCACATGATTTTGAAACTTGTATTTTGTTTTTAATATTTGAATTAATAGTGTTATTGATATCATTGCTATTATTGTTATTATTATTTTGACTGTTTCTATTTAAATATGATCTATGAATAATATCGGAAAATGCTTGAACATCTTTTTCGTGAAGATATAGTTGATAATCAATTAAATTTAAAAAGTATTTTTCTAAACTATTTACATTACTCAAAGATACTCCAAATATCTCTGATAGGTACTTATTAACTGACATTTTTTCTTCCAACCACATTTTAATTGTTAAATTAATACTATAGAAACATAAAAATTAAAAAATATAGGTGTTATTAGGATTGTATAAAATCATTATCATTAAATATCAAATATATACCTTGTTATGATTATATCTAAAATTGAAAAGTTTTTAGTTGTTGATTTTCTATAAAAAATGTCAGCATAATAAATTGAACTGATTATTAAATATTTTAAGGTTTGTCTGATCGATTGTTCGGACTCTGAATTGGTAGATTTTTGAACGTTGGCATAGTAGGCTTTTGAACGTTTACAATGTTGAGTATAAAAGAAAGTTATAACACATTCCCAAAGATCGTAGATTTCTTTAACATAACCTTCAATGTCTGAAAATGATGAGAATTTTGGTGATAATGTACAATTGATATATTCTTTTGAAATTGATGCGCCAGGTATAACTCTTAATTTTGGGATAGCGGATAAAATTGGTGGATTGGAATTATTATAGACCCATGTCAACATTAATCTTGTTGAATATGCTTTAATTACTAAATCATCCATATCATCATTATATTTTTGGAGTATATTCTTTTTTGGCGACATTATTGGTTGTTGTGATTGAGATGGTTGACTATTATTATTTGATTTATTATTGTTACCATTATTGCTGTTGTTAAGGTTATCACTATTATTATTGTTATTGCTATTGATTTTTATATATCTACCACTAGTGGAAGTATGACAATTTATAAATAAAACTGTTGACATTTTGACTATTAATTTATATAGCTATATAAATTGGTTTTAATATTATACAAAAATATTATATATGTTATTATTTGTATAAAATTTTTTTTTTAATTTAACCAAATATAATTAAAAAAAAAAAACCCAGGGTTTGTTTAAAAATTAAAAAAAAAAAAAAAAAAAAAAAAGTGGAAATTATTTACAAAACTTAAATAAAAAGGAAATATATTGAGTGTTTGGAAAAATAAAAAAATAATATATTCTTGTTAAAAAAAATTGAAATCAATTTTATATATGTAACCAAAAAGATTTTTTTTTGATTGATTATAAATTGGATGAATAATAATATAATTTATCATATATGAATTTTGATTATTTTAGTATATTATTAATATTATATATATGGATTGTGTGTATGTGTGAGTGTGTGTGAAGGACTTATGATTATTATATGTTGTTTATATAAAAATAAAAAATTTAAAAAAAAAATAAATAATAAATATTTTTTAAAAAAAAAGAAAAAATTTAAAAAAATAATAAATAATAAAAAAAAAAGGATTTATATATATGTACAAATAAAAAATAAATAAATTATATACTAAATATAATAATAATAATAATAATAATAAATATATAAAAATTGTTGAGATTAAATAAAAAAATTATTATTCATATTTAAAAAGGTGAATCGATTATTGTGATTATTGGTAAAGAAATAAAAATTTTCGGTGTTTTCTTTTTGTTGTTATTGTTTTTTTTTTTTTTTTGGTTGTTGTTGTTTTTGTTATTGTTTGTTTGATTTTTATATACACAACAATTGTTTGTGATTATTGTTTGTTGTTGTTGTTTAAGCTACTTTATACTACTACTCTTCAGCTTAACCTATACTACTATTTTTATTTTATTTATTTATTTATTTATTTATTTTTGAATTAAAAGAATTTAAATGTTAATAATTATTTTTTTTTAATTTTAATATTTTAAAACACAAATATGAAAACAATTATTTAATTTGTTATAAAATATAAACGAGTGATATATGAGCGATGTTTTTTATTTTTTATTAATCTTTTTTTTTTTTTTTATTTTTTTTTATTTTTTTATTTTTTTTTAAATATGCAAACCTTTTAAAAAAAAAGATAATTTATTATTTGTATTGTATGTATTGTTCTAATTGGAATTGGAAAAAATTAATGATAAAATAATTATTTACTATATATGTTGTTATTTATTTTACTATTGTTTTTTTTATATTATTATAAATATTATTAACACACTTTTGTTTTATGTGAGTGTGTGAAAGGGGTAAGAGTTATCTTTTGTGTGTCTCCAATACAACAATTTAAATTTATTAGAGTTATTAATAATAATTATAAAAAAAAAAGAGCAATTTGCATATATATATGTAAATATATGAATGTGTATATATACAAGTGAGGTTTAAATTTATTAAAGTGGGTCATGTGTTTTTCTAATCTATAACATTTTTTTTTTTTGCTTTTTTTTTTGCTTTTTTTTTTTTTTTTTTGGGTGTGTGGTTAAATTTATAATCTAAAAAAAATTTCAGAAATCTAAAATTAATTTTGAAAAAGAAAATTGTAGTTTTGATTCTCTTATTTAAAGCTTTTTTTTTTTTTGGTGTGTTCCTTTTACAAAGAGTTAACCAAAAATTGTTTTTCTTTTTTATATCTAATTATTGTGATTTATTTTTATTTATAATTATTTTATTCTATGTTTGTTATCTTTAAAACTGATATTTAATTAATTAATCTTTGGGTGTTATATAAAAAATAAAATACACACAAAAAAAACATAATAATTTTAAAAAAGGGAGCGAGATATATGCATGGTGTTATATATAAAAATTATTATTGTGATTCCAATCTATATTAATCTTATACCTTTTTTTTTAAATTTTATTCTATTTGGATTTAAAAATGTTTAAATCTATACTTTTTTATTCTTCTTTTTTTTTTTTTTTTTTTTAAAAGATAATAATATGAAATTTCAAAATTAGTAATTTTTTCTTTTTATATATGTGATTATTTTAAGATAGATTTTTTATAAAAAACAAAAAAAAAATATAAAATGTGTATTAAACAAAAAACATTAACATAAAACAATAAACAATAAACAAAAAACAAAAAACAAAAAATGAATTCTATCACACTTTATTAATAAATATCAAAGTGGGAAAAAAATGTAGAGTGTGTTTATTATGGAAACTAAGAAAATAATTGAATAATTTATAAATTATTTATTAAATATAATAATACACACTATTGATTTTGTTATAAACTTAATAGTTTTATTAATATGATATTGAAATCATTAGTGATTATTTTGTTAAACCGAACAATAATGTGTGAAAAACAATACCACAGTTTTATTTTTTTTTTTTTTGGTTTTTTTTTTTTAAAAATTGGTTTTATTTTGTGCCCTATGCCGCCACCTTTAGTTTTGGTTCCAAAGATTTGATATTTTTAAAAAAAAAATTTTTTTTGAAAAAAAAATAAAAAATAAAAATTAAAATAAAATAAAATTATTCATTTTTTAAAAAGACATATGACAAAAAAAAAAGACCAATTTTTGAAAGAGATAAAGGGGGTGTGTTTATAAAATGCATACCTGTAGGGTGGCCCACCGATTTACTAATTTT